TATTATAACGAAAGTTTGGTGCAGGTAACATCAAAGGCTGACACAAGCATGTTATCAATTAAGTTAGCACAGGTGTGCCGTCAGTTAGACCTGTCATCATATCACTTGGGTCAGTAGAGGTACAGGACTTTCTAAATATTAGTTGGATTGATATAGGCATATTATCACTTAGGTTATATCTGATATTATCATTGTTAGTGTCAACTGTAAGTGTTGGAGTTCAACTTTTGGATAATTTAATTTTTTCTATTTTATTACTGTCATTAAATTAGAATGTAATGAAAGTTATGCATTAGTTTAGTTGAAAACGAAATTTATGAAATTGTTAAAGTGCAAAATATTGTAGAGTAGCTGAAATTTTAGTCATAATTCATATGGTTTCTTCTTTTCTCTTCAACTTAAAATATCGATGACTAATACAAAACTGGAATTTTCGAAATTTCGATACTTCTCTTTGTCTGCCTTCTCTGCCGTTATTCTTTTCTCTGCATCTCTAACTTCATGCCATTTATCGATTATTGTCCCTAATTCAAATGGCAACCAACTATCTCGATGGACCAGAAAAGAAGATAGGAATGAATGCCTATGTGTGTGTGTTTGTGTCCGTCTGTCTGTCTGTGCATGTGTGTGTGTGTGTGTGTGTATGTGGGGTGGAAGGAGAGGGGGGGAAGGGTGGTTGTTGAAATGGGTGTTTGTATTAGAAGTGTTAGTTGGCATATGAAGATCAATTTTTGTTGCCAGTCAGCGGTCGCAATCCCGTTCATCTTGCTAATCCCTTTCTATCTGTCATTCATTCATTCATTTTGTTGACTATAACCATGTAACAATGTTTGTTATGAATTGAATGTAAGGATATTACTTAGAGATGTAATAGTTTATGATATTATTTACTTACTTTTTAGTAATTTATGATATAACCTTTTTTTTGGACTTTCTTGTCGTTTTACTTCATTCTGATTTATTCGTTCCATTAAGATTTTTTTCTAGGAATTCTTGTGGATATCCTCAGAAGAGCAGTAAGTCGTTGGCATCGAACAGTTGCATGTTTTTACACCCCAACAATAACTTTAGCATTTGTGATTTTATGGTTGACAACCCTCAGGAAGGTAAATGTTTGTAATTTTTTTTTTAGTCTTTTTGAGTGATTTTTTTTTCAAGATTTTTCCCAAATTTACCTTCTTTTTTTTTCAATGAAAAATATATAAGGGATAAAAAAGAACATCAGAAGTATTCTGTTAATTCTTTATTCTTGATAGTTTTATTTTCTTTTTTTCTTAAAAGTTTGGCTTATTTTGGTGATTTGGAGTATTTATTATACAGTATATGGATGTGATTGAAATGTTTCAGGGAGGTTGTCACGAAAACGAAAGAAACTGAAGGAGACTTTTGAAGAGTCGTGTGGCGAAGAATCGCATTGCTTGTTTGCCCTTAATCACGTATGCCATTTGGAGGATACGCAGTGCACAAGCAGTGGCCTAGTCGCTTCCACGTTAAGATTTCCTCCTAACGTTAACTCCAATACTGGTATGTTAGGCGATTGTCTGGTATACAGATTTATGATACACGTAAAAGGAATGCATATGATATAGATGGAAAATTCCTGACGAATTTAATTTTGCACTCCAAAGGTGCAAATTATAGCAGGATTACGATTTGCCCCGTAAAAGCTTTTGGAAAGGGATCGTTTATCCTAAGTGCACTAGTCATGATCACATGTCTTGACTAATTAATTGCTGAAATTGTTCAAATATTCTATTCAGTATTTTGACTCTGATGCGGATCAATTCATCACTCCTACAAAATGCTTTCTCTGCATTAAAAATTATGAAGGTAGGAAGATAACAGTATAGACTTTAGATAGTTCGAAATTTGCATAAACTGTGTAACTCGAAATCTGCATAAACTTACTATTTTCTACAAATTATTAAATATTAAGATAACGTAAGAAGTAAATTCACTTGATTGTCTGGTGTAATTGAGGACGGTTTTATTTTCGTGTTGCTCATAGTTGCAAAATTGCGCGAGAGCACCAATTCTACCTTCACCTTCAAATTTCACTTACTGAAATTGATGCGGTGTCGTTCATTGTTGTTGATTGTGGATACTCAACTGAAATTGCCTTGCAAGTTTCAGAAGTGGTAATTGTTACAGTGAAATCTGTTCTTGAATTGGAAAATAACGTAGAAACTTTAAAATAATTTCATTTGCCGCATGGTTTCTCAATTTTTTCTTTGGTTTGCAAATGAATTTAGTAACTTTTGTAACTCAGTTTTGTAAAACTTTTGATATAGAAGTATAACATTAGGGAATGAATTTGGATTTTTTAGAACACTCCAAAATGAAATAATCTTTTTGCAGGTTTTCTGCGGAGTTTATTCATCACAAATTTGAACAGAAATGGCGATCAATATCAATCGCAATGTGCTCGATCCCTTTTATCGTTACAAAATGCCCCGTCTACAAGCGAAGGTTATTTCATATTAGAAGTAAAATAGGAGATATGACATACACGCTATTTTGTGAATTATTTCGATATTTTGCAGGTCGAAGGCAAAGGCAACGGAATCAAAACAGTCATTGCAAACATGACCGAAATTGCCAAAGCTCTTGAGCGCCCACCAACTTGTGAGTATTTTATTTCGTGAAGTTTTTATATATTATCATGTCACTGGTATAACTTGATATTTGGGTTCACTTCTTACTCCAATGTTTTGTTCATTATTGGAGTAACTGAAAATGATTCTCATATAGTAAGTCACAGTATGTTAAGATGTATTTGTTTACCATTCATTTTAAAACAAGTGTTGCAGGGATTTGAACTATAGATGAAGGAATATATCTAAATCATTATATATGTCGTACTATCGATTTCTTATAGATCCAACCAAGTATTTTGGGTGTGAATTAGGCGCGCAGACCAATTTTGACATGAAAAATGAGCGTTTTATTGTGAACGGTGAACATGACGCGGCTAAACTGCAGGATATTCTGGATGGTTTCATCAGAAAGTTTGTTCTGTGTGCAGCATGTGAAAACCCTGAAACTACTTTGGTAAATTATTTGCTGTTGCTGTACCGTGTTTTATCTTTCTTGATTTTTTTCTAGAAAACTTTATTTCAGCTACAGCTTAGAAACTTGTTTTTCAGGTTGTTAAGAAAGGCCAAATCCACAGTAAATGCAAAGCTTGTGGAAATACTTCAATCATCGATCCTAAACATAAGCTGTCGACGTTTATCATGAAGAATCCACCGAAAGTGGACGAGAAGGAAAAGAAAGAAGGTGGTAACAACGGTTCCACAGATAATTCTGTAATAGATGGAGAAATGCCAAGTGATAAAGATGTGGTAAGTAAATTTACTGTCAACTTTAAAAATTTCAGTTGTTGCTTTCATTACTTTTTCAAAGGAATGCTTATAGAATGGAAGTGCATCGGATGATGTTGATGACGATTGGGCAGAGCCAATAGACGATCCGGCTGGTGGAGTTTCTGCACAAATTGGCAAACTGATAATTAGCAGAGATCTTGACAAACCAATTGAAGAGCGGCTTGATATGCTACATCAGTATTTCCTGAAAGCTAAAGCCGATGGCACGTTCCAGGTAAGCGGATGTCGTAATTTTATTTGGAAAGATTCAATAACTTTTTTTGAAAACTTACTAAGACTGCATAGTACGAATACTCTTTCTGAGGTCTTATAGTAAAGTTGGTTCTTCCATTAATTCATTCTGTTTAACTTTCAAAATAATTTTGCACTGTAGATAAAAATTTATAATGAAAGATTGCAGAATAGTAAGAAATTACTAAATGAAGCAGAAAGATTGGAGCTAAAATCAAAGGCTACTCTCTTATTGGCTGATGTTTTATTTGATACAAACGTCATCAGTCAAATTATGGAATATCGAAACATCCTTCTGCGTTTCACTGTTAATGATCACAAGGTATGGGCATAACATCTTGGAATATTAAATTCCACGTTTGCTACTCTTTGAAAGATTTTTTGTTGTTTTAATTTTGATTTTAAATTCCTAAACGGTTTGCCCTGGTTTGTTACGCTAAGTCGTTGTTCAATTTCAGGCACAGCGTCATCTTCTCGGTGGTATAGAACAGCTCATTTCCAAACATCTCGACACTTTGTTTCCAAAATCAGCCCATATTATTAAAGCGCTTTATGACAACGATGTGGTGGAAGAGGAGGTTCTTTTGGCTTGGGGAGAAAAGGTATGCAAACGGAGCTCTGTTTATAAAATTCTAAAATCTCGGTTCTTTAATGCAAGGTAATGAAAATAAGGTTGTACGAAGTTATCCTTTTCAGCCGAGCAAGAAGTATGTTAAGAAGAAATTGTGCGTAGAAATAATTGCTAAGGCGCAACCTGTTTTGGATTGGTTAAAGAATGCAGAAGAAGATGAAAGCGACGATGAAAATGACGAAGATGGAGCTATTGAAGTATGAATTAACGTTTTTATACTTTTGTGTGGGAAAATCTTTAATTTATTGCTTCAGATCTTAGACGGTGCCTTTTAGTTATTTTTGTGGTTTCAGTTTATGCCATTTAATGAGTTGTGTGCCTCCTTCACTGCGTTTGCTCATGACCGGTTTTCATGTTTTTGGTTATGGGCTACTACTTCTCTTGTGTGCTTCCTCGATGCTTTGCATGTCGGAGCATATTTTGACATATATGAATAATTTGATATTTAATTGATCGTTAATCGAAGAAACATGGGATCAAGGAAGAAAATATAAGTTGGCATTTAGATGAATATTGTAGCTTCTGGACAATTGTAAATCGTTTAATTTGAAAATTGGGAATAATATAAAATTTGACATAAGTTTCCCTGTAATTTACATTTGTATTCCAAATTTTCTTGTTTTCAGTTTGATGATCGCGCCCGAAAGGTGGGGACAGTTGAAATGGATGCAGCAAAGAAGATAAATGGCACTGCTCTAATTGAGAAGATTAAGACTGAGGAAGATGGTGAAGTTGATATTGATGATATCTAAGTGGATTAACCATGAAAAGTGTTTAATGCTTTTAACTCTCTCTCTCTCTCTCTCTCTCTCTTGATGTTTTTTTGTGTACTGCAACTTCCCGAACATACGCAGAGTCTTGTTTGATTAGTGAGATAAATTCTATTATTTTATATCATCCTTAACTTTTTAATCTTTTGCACTTGTTTTTTTCTCCGTTTAATGCTGCAATTCCCTTTTCTTACTGTTCCATACAATTTATCATTGATTTACTTTTCATTAGTATTAGCACTTAATTATATGCTTCTTTGTCCTTTTTTATTCAAACTTTTTATAAGGATGTGACGAAAGAATTAAGCTGTTCAATGGATTTTGATGTGATGAAATTGTCGCGTTGATAGCAGTTTGTTCGTAAATATACCGACTTCTCTAATACGGCATGACATCGAAAAAAGGGATGGATAGATTTCTTCACCATGTGCTATCTTTACGAATTGAATGGGAAAAAAGACTGAACTGAAAATTTTGGTAATCAACTGGTTGCTGAGATTATGTGCAAATCTGTTTAGATTAACTCAATGCTCTTCACGATTTTCCTGAAATTCTAATTCGGTAGGCTAACAAGTGAGCTTTTCCAATTTAATAAAGATGAGCGAAAATGTTGGCAGTAACGCTGTGCTTGTTATTCTCGGAACAAATTGGGTCTAATGTACTGGGTTGAGTCAATTCATCTTAAGGAATACGTCAAGTATATTTGGAGATTCGTTACTTGGTCTAGGCAAAGGCGAGAGACTTCAAGACTAAGGTGCACTGGGACATCATCTACTGGAAATGATATAACTGAAATGAAGCTGATGACATTGGTCATCTTTCAGAGTGGACATTGTTGAGGCAAGTTTATTTACAGGTCAAATTCAAGTAAGTTGAGACATTTATAGAATTTACAAATGAAGCTACGATATAAGGCCCAGTGGCACGGTAATTTAAGGCACAAAATCGAAGTATTGGCGAAGTACTGTGTATTCTTCCGAGCAGTTCGTTTTTATTGCTTCCCGTACTTCTTTTGACATGAACAAAAGCTTCATAGAACAAATAACCGAGTCAAGCTCAGTATCGTCCTGAAAAAATCCACAGAGATTAAGAACAATTTGTCAGTTTAAAGTACTTTTATAAAAAAGCATAACCAACTTTAGTTTTTAAGGACTCATAAGAATCTAAGAATTGTAATCAATTGATGAAAAGGAGATAAATGAGCTGTAGCAGAAACGAATAATTATTTTATACTTTAATTTTTCAAAGAACGAATTTAAGGCATGAGCTATTAATTACTTCCATGTAATTACAAGTATTTGCTCAAAACGGTTATGACTTTATAAAGGCGAAAAAGTAATGTTGTTTGATGACTGACTAAGCATGAATACCAGTTTCCTTCAAACGGTTAATAGCTTTGAAATGAAACTTGAACTTGATAGATACCTCCACATCTTACAGTAGTAAAATAACCACTGACTGACATCTTAAGTGACAAATATACAAACAAATACCTTTTGAGGATCACTTCCATCACAGCAGTCCTCATCGTGAGCTTTTTTTTCTCCATTATAAAACGTCGGAGAATGATTTCCATAATCCCTTCGCTCATCAATAACTAAATTATCTACAGGAATGGAGAGATCACCAATATCTACATTTTGAGCGGATTCATTACTAGCTGAAGTTGAAGGAATCTGAAATATGTGTGAAATGAAAATTTTCTTAATAAAAAGCAGGACTTGATACCAAGTTACTTGATGAGTTACTCGTAAGTATAGAACCAATATTGGTAAGTTTGTACTGGATTATGAGGATTTTCTCAAAGGAGACTGGTGATGATGCTTGTTTAGAGGACAGATGCATCAATGGAATTACAAATACTTCATTCCTTTAAATTAATTGTCTATTTAGCCCAAACTTCAACTGTTTTTGATTTCAATCTTACAATCAGTCTAAAATGAGGTGAAGATAAAGAAGGAAAGGAAACCAACAGACCGAAGGTATAACGACAGCATCGATTTCCGCAGGATTAGCATTCATTTTTACAGCTCTTCTATGAAATGATTTTTTCTGTCCATGGCAAGGTCTCTAAAAATTAAAACTGCATACTTATGTCTAATACCAAATAATAAATGCTAATGACTATGTGCTAAGTTATTTGGAGCAATCACAATTATCTTAAATCATAATTTTAACTATTCTCTGTCGTAGACACTTCAAATTAAAGAAAAATGAAATTTTGAACATGCATACTTTTACTAAAACAAAGGTAATGTCCCAACTTGAAGTCAATTTTCCAGTTCTAATGTGTTTTATATCAATCTCGATTATATGACCACGTATGTCATCGATATGTGCTCTAAACCAATGTTTTTTATCGAGGACTTTACCAAAAAATGGTAATGACGGAGGTTGTCGACTATTGTAATTTTCTGATATCCTTAATTCTACTGTAACCTGAAAATAAGATTATTTCGAAAATAATTACAGTAAAATTCTTACTATTACATTTTCAAAAAAAAAAAAAGAAAGAAGGTTTTCTTTTACCAATTTACCATTTCTTTAACAAGATGATTAGATTAAAAAATGCAGGCATAAAACACAAGTCTACTTTCTTTTCTTTGTTATACTTTTTTGAAATAAATTTAATCAACTGTTTACCACGGCAGTGTTATTTTCTTCACGTGCAGGATAACAACTATCCAATTTATACCAACTGTTTATGCAAAAAGGTTTCCTTTTTGAATGTGATCGTTGTTTCTTCCTGAAATAAAACATAAAATCTAAAATATAAATTGAAAGAAAACGACAAAAATGTATAACCATATTAATAGTAATGTATAGCCATATTAATAATAAGCTTTGTTATTTTTGCACTTAGAGTAAAATTTTAAAAAATAAACTATCTAGTGTTAGTATCCAAGAAAATTTTCAATTATAAAATATGTTTGCTAATAACTTTTGTCTCAAAAAGGTTTAAAATTGGAAATTTACCTAATCCAAAATTGAATCCAGTCACCAATGTGTAAACCACTTTTACAATAGCATATAATTTCAGTCAATGAAGGCGTCCATATGAAATAACCTGATTGGCATTTACCAGTAACAATACCAACATACGAAATATCGTCAGCATTTTTTGCATTTGTGTTTAGATTTGGTTTTGGCACAACTGCTTGGTTCTTCATCTTCAACAAAGGATAAACTGTATAATTCGATCAGTAGTATTTAAATTTATAAAGTATAATTCAAAACGAAATATCGAAGCAGGAAGAAATATTCTCTCTTTGAAAATACTATTTTTCCGTATAGTAAAGAAGTCAAAGGCACTAAAGCTAACCTACTGAACCTAAAAGTGGATGAAACTTTGGCTACTGTATCATAAATCTATTTCGATGCAAAAAATGAAAAAATACTAATATATACTAATATAATAATTAATACTAATATGAATTTCTAGCAGAAAGAAATTCTTTGTTACAAAATAATATTAACCCGCAAAGTGAGAAAGTTAGTTATCCTCCAATATGGATCAATTGAAGCGGTTGTTTGCACTGTTTTACACCAGACAGTATATTTTATTGAGGCATCCAAGGGAATATTCAATAGTTTGTCCATATCATCTACCACTGCTCCAAGAACAACGGAAAACATTATTCGATGGCCTTTCGTTGAGATTTGATCAGTTAGGATAACTTCCGTCTCAACCTTAAAATTTTAAATTTAGAGAAGAAATTTCCTAACTAAAATTTAAAGACACATCACTCCTACTTTTTTCATGTTATATTATATCAGAAATATCTCAGTGTTTAATACATATTTTTTTCGTTCACTAAAATGCTAAGTATGAATAGTGGAAGGAGGAGAATCTAAATGTTAAGTCATTAACAAAAAGACTGCTTCAGAATTTTGAACAAATAGTTCCATCATAGGACAGATAAACAAGAAAGAATATCGTACTTCTAATTGACCGTTAGATATATAAGAGGTGCATAATTTCTGAGATTTCACGGCACTTAATACCGTCCAAAATTGACTACTTTCACTTATTTCAAAACTGAACCAATCGCCAAGTGCCGGAACTGCTTCGAATCTGCAATTCTCACACAAAACTAACAATATGAAATTTCAGCATTCCAATATTATTTATGCAGATAATATTATTGTATGTTTAGCAATACAATAATGTGCTGTTGATGCTTATATAAGTAAAAAAAACTAACATTTTCAAATTAACATGTAACATTCGACCATTTCCATGATTTGTATCTTGGATATAGACTAATGATAATGATTTCTGAATATCAACGAAGCAAACGATACCATTTCTCTGACTTTTATTTATACAATCCTGTATGAAAATTAAAACAAAAATTGATACTATTTGTAGATTCTATAATTTCCAAAATATAAATGATCAGCAGGTCACCAAAATCAAAGTTAGTAAACTGTTCATGAAAAAAAAAAAAACATACCAAGACCTGACACACACTCCATGTAGTAATCGGTTCTTCCAGACTTTTTTTTATACGCTTTAACATTACTTCATATGTTTGTCCAACTCCAAAATTTTGTACTGCTTTTTCTAATATATTATCTCGATCTATAACTGGTCCTATCCAATCCGCAGTTAAATTATTTAACGGCCAATGAGAAACGAATGTGGCTGATACAAGCTATAAAGAAAAAAAAAAAGATAATATTATAACAACATTAAAAAGTTTAAAAATACCAGAAAAAAATTTGATAAAAAAAAAAATTTAATCACAGAAGAAAAAATCCAATCCTATTATTAAGTAAATTGTAATTAAAGGAATGCTTCGAAACATTTGAAGAAGTTTTTAACAAAATGATTTTGTTTAGGCGAACCATTAGATTATTGAAGAGCGGTACACATTTTAAGATAGGATCTGTCATCGTCCACTCGATAATATAAAATTTGATATTCATATTCATACGGGCATGATTTTTAAGATGCGGACTAGAATAAACTGTGCCAT